GGTGCTTTATTTTCCTTCTGTTCTCTTCCTCTAGCGTGTGGAATTGGAGCCCAATTTACTGAGAAGGTTGTTGCCACACCGGGAATGCCTCCCGGTTGGTCAAAATCTGGTCAGGGGGGGGATAATAGGCGGTTGGAAAAAGACGGGGGGGCTGGTCTGATAAGTCCTGGGGACCACACTGTCACCGTCTCGGGGCCCAGAGTAGTCGAGTTAAGGATGGCAGTGCAGGAACCCCTGCTGTCATGGCGCCTCTGGTTCCAAAAGATTGCCACAGGGGAGCTGAGAAGGTGCCTTTGTGGGGCAGGGCGTGTGCGTTACCCCTCATGCACTGAAGATGTGCTCCCTGAGTATCTTCTGGTTCCCTTTCATTTTCACCCCGTGGAAATAAGGATGAAAGAAACCTGAGAGGGCCATGCCTTGCCTGCCTGAATTGAAATAATGGCAGCATTTTAGGGATAATATGGGCCAATGACAGGAGAAGGGCTGAGGGATAATGATGGTGATATATTTACCGTATATATCTCCTTCCAGTTTTGCTCAGCACTTTCCCATGCCATTCTAGCTTAATTTTCACAACATCCTGCTAGGGAGGGACAGTGCGGCAGGTGTTAGTGACTGTTTCTGTTTGATAAAAAAAAGAAAGCTGAATGCCAGAGGGTTGTTTGAGGAGCCCAGGGTACACAGCTAGTTCCTGGCTGACCTGGAGCTTGAATGCACTTAACCCAACTTCTGCATCCAGGCTCTTCCATGATATCCTTCTTTGCTCAGTTTTTCACTACTTCCAGTATTCCACATGTTACATGCATGTTGAATGTCCACTAAAATTCTAGGCAGAAGGACAGCAAAAAGGAACCCAAGGACCATTCCTGAAAAGCTGGAATATGTAAAAGCTTTTGCTTCCCATTGAATGGCGCTTTCTATTTCTCTTGTTAGCAGCTATGACAGAAGGAGGAGGGAGAAAAATCAGAAGGGTCAGGGAAAAAGAGAGTGTTTTGAAATCTTTTTGCTTGCCATTTCTTTCTTTTATTGATTTTTTTACAGAGAGGAAGGGAGAGGGATAGAGAGTTAGAAACATCGATGAGAGAGAAACATCGATCAGCTGCCTCCTGCACACCCTGTACTGGGAATGTGCCCGCAACCAAGGTATATGCCCTTGACCGGAATCGAACCCGGGACCCTTGAGTCCACAGGCCGATGCTCTATCCACTGAGCCAAACCGGTCAGGGCTACTTGCCATTTCTTTTGGTTACTAAACAGGGGTTAATCAAAGGGATTCACAGAGAGGGAAGGGAAATCACTGATCATTGGATTATTTTTAAGTAAGTTTTTGGGGGATGGGGAGATCATAAAACAGCTCTGAGATGGCAAAGAAGAAATGGTCAGAAACAAAGCTCTTGCCTCTCTGCTCCCGTATATGCTACCCTTGCTCACACAGGGCAAAGCTAAGCCAACAGGCCAAAGCAAAGTGCTTGACCTTGTGGTCTTTCCCCATGAGAGGGTCATTCAGGTAGGGATGATGACGGATCTGCATGGCTGGTTAGGATCAGGGAGGGTAGCTGGACTCCATGGGAGTCCTACCGCCTTGGTTTTCTCATTTGGAAAATGGGATATTATTCTTGCCTGACAGAGGAGTATTGTGAGAATTAAATGAGACAGGAGATTAGATAAACTAGAGTAGGTGAAGAGTTCCAATTCAGGTTCTTGCTTATAGTAGGGACTCGATATTTATAACCACATACCCAGCTGTATGAAAGCATGTCTGGGAGGATACATACTGAGCTGTCAATAGCGCTACTCCTCAAGGAGGTGTCTATGTGTGGGAGGCACTTTTTACCATATACATTTTTACTTTAGACATCATACAGCATGTGGGGGAAATATGCTGTGTAAGTATTAATGGGTGTGTGTGTAGAGGCTCAAGTTAAAATAAGATCAGAGATAGAATAATAAAGAATATGACATTTTGGTAACCCTGTCTTTGTGTGAGTGTAAAGTTTGAACTCACTACACTTGAATCAGTTGAGATGCCTTTGGTGGCAAACAACAGAACCCAACTGGCTAAGTCAAGAAGCAAAAGTGGGATTTGTAGGGTACTGGAGTAGTCCTCAGCATCAATGGAAGAACTGAAAACTGGGCATTGGAAAGCACCAGAACTCCGCAGTCCCAGGGCGGTGAGCACCTTCTCTGAAAGATGCAGGTACGAGAAGTTCAGCTCCAGTCGCCTTCCATTCAAGCTTTTACATTCCACGGAGAGGGAATCTGATTGGTCCATCTTGGGACAGACGTTTCCACCATTGGCTCATCGAGCTTTTTGCCACGAGACTGGGCAGGAAGTACATAAGAAAGCAGTTCTGTGCTGAAGCCTCGTTCTGCATGCATCTGCCCCAACACTTCGCAGGGATTTTTGAAAAATTATCATCTTGCATTGCTTTTACATAATAATGAGAAAACTCTAACAACTAATAAAATAAGTAGCGCTATGCTGTAAGATCTCAACAGAATGTATTTTGTGCATCTTTGTGAAAGAACCAATAAAAATCAAAACCAAGCAGCATGATTCATCATTCCCGTGCCTAGTGATACATCACAATGACACATCTGCCTTGGGTCTGAATAAATGTTGATTATGATGGCAGACACACCCACACAGCAATAACAGTACTTGTCTTTTTGGCTCCAACAGTTAGCAGATCTAAAATCTCCATAAATTTGTTTAGTGCTGCCTCTCAGATTAGGAAGGGAGTTTGAGATCTTTATTAGGGTAAAGAAAAGTAATGGGGCATCTCTGGTTTTTCCATCAGTAGCTGTTATTTTATGGTTATTGGAAGTCAGGGAATGTGAGGCACACAGAAAGTATGTGGGGTGTGTGTGTGCCTGTGTGCATGTGAGGGGAGGGAGGGGAAGGGAGGGAGAGAGAGAGGGGGAGAGAGAGAGAGAGAGAGAGAGAGAGAGAGAGAGAGAGAAGAGAAGAGAAGGAGAAGAGAAG